TAAAGCAGATGAAGTACCCTTGAAGATAAACATGGTTCCAAAGGTTTTTGAAAAGCAGTCAAAGCTGTGTCTGATTCTGCCCAATCTGTCTTGTTGCTGATGGTAGATCTCCCGTCACAGATTGCAGAGTCATCTACCCAACAATGGTGTGAACATTTTAGTGAACTACTTAACCATTTATCTGCTCTTTCTTACGAATCACTGGGTAATGGCCACAAATTGCCCCCAAATTAACAGTCCACCCATACAGACCAAGGCTTTGAAGGCTCTTCAAATAATGAAAAGTAACAAATCTCCTGATCCCAGTGTCCTTCCAACTGAAGTATTCAAACACTGACAGGCTTTTAAAAATTTTGTTACATGCCTGGTTTCATATAGCAGTAACTGAAAGAGGCTAAAATCGTCATTGTCTATTAGCATGAAGATTCAGAGCAACTGAGGTAATGACCATGGTCTCTCTTTGCTGCCCATGGCCAGCAAGATTCTTGCATGGACCCTGCTAAACTAATTCCTGATCCAGTCATTGACAGTTATGTCTAAGACACAGTGTGGCTTTTTGTGCTTTAGAGGAGCACTGTTTGATGTTATTTTCCCCATTTGGTAATTACAGAAAAAATTACACAAACAACATCAACCTTTGTACATCCTGATTCTTGCTATGACTAGGGCATTCAACATGGTCAGCTGTCCTGTCCTCTGGATATTGCTCACTAAATTCAGATGTCCAGACAAAGTTATTAACTTCATTCAGCAATTCCATGAAGGCACAGCTGAAGGAGTTTGTGTTGATAGTGATGTAAGTTTCTTCTTCTTCAAGTAGTGTCCCAATGAGAGTGCTCCATTGTAGGTGTTGAGTTGTCCCACTGCTGCAGATGGGAGATTTTTCCAGCAGTGGTTGGTTGGGCTGTGCATGTGCTGTAGCTGTCTGGGGGCATTCCAATCACAAACAAGGTAAAGCCAGGATGTGCCCTCACTCCTAGCCTTTTTGGTCAAAGGAAGTCCCGATATCAGAGGAAACCCTGATGAGATCTTCAGTTTTCCTGTCTACATGTGCAAATCAAGATTATTGCTGTATTGGAAAAACTGTGTCTTGATGGGGCACACACTGAAGTGACACTACAAGGTCTTACAAACCACTTGGCTGTGATGGCTGATGACTTGGGCCTCATTGTCAGCGAACCCAAAACAAGGTTACATACAAGCCAGCTCCCCAAAAACCTTACCAAGACACATCTATAATTTTGGAAGGTGCCATGCTCCAAGCCATTAAACAGTTTGTTTATCATGGCAGCATGTTGGACATTGAATTGACAACTGACCACAACGTGTATGCACAAATTAAGAAAGCCAATGCTGCATAAGATTACCTCCATCACCAAATCTGGAAACAACATGGAATCTGACTACAGACAAAATTGAAGTCTAATGCTTTTGTCCGAAAAATGTTGCTTTGTGGATGCAAAACATGGACCTGTTATCAATGGTGTACAAAAATCTTGACAGTTTCTGTTTGATACTGATGATGGTTGCTGGGCATCAGGTGGCAGGACTGGATTTCCAACATGAAATTCCTGAAAAAATCTGTTGGTTTGTATTGAGCTCATTTGATCTGCATCCATTTGAGATGGACTGGCCATGTAATTTGTATCCTGAGACTCATTTATTGTACCAAAGTTTTATATTACCAGTTAAGCATGGACAGCAGATGAAACTCTCCAAAGAGCCCCCTCAAACAAAATCTGCCCCAAAACAAAGATTTCTGACTCCACTTGTGAGCAGCTGGTAATTGATCACATTGCTTGGTGCCACAGTCGCAAGGTGGGTGTCCAGGATTTTGAGAAGAATGATGTTAAGCAGCTGAAAGCATGGTGCCAGGCAAGAAAAGAGCGTGCAGCTCCATCAGCACAAGTAGGCAAATGGTTCTGTGGTCAGTGTGGTAAATGATGTTCTTCCCATACTGGTCCGTGGCATCATACAAAGACCCATTAGAACAAACTATGATTGTTGATTGCATCTTTGAAAACAAGGCAAGTAGCATCAGATGCAGATTTCCAGCAGAACAACAGCTGACTGTGGTAGTCGGGAAAGAATCTGCCTAGACCCTCTATTACACTCAACATGATAGACACTCCAGCATTGTCTAATTTTCTGTTTGCATTATTCATAGAATCACAGAATACTAGGACTGAAAGGGACCTCGAGAGGTCATTGAGTCCAGTCCCCTGCCCTCATGGCAGGACCTAGTACTGTCTAGACCAGTGGTTCTCAAACTTTTCGACATCACGCCCCCTTTTTGATTTTTGAGTAACCCTCACGCGTCCAGCCGTCCCTCCCCCCCAATAGTAGCAAAACTTGTGGAGGAAAAAAAAAGCCTCGAGAGGTCATCGAGTTCAGTCCCCTGCTCTCATGGCAGGACCAAATACTGTTTAGACCATCCCTGATAGACATTTATCTAACCTAGGGTATGTCTACACTAGCTCGTTAGTTCGAGCTAGGTAGGCAAATGAGGGCAACTGGAGTTACTCCACGAGAAGTAACAGTTAATTCGAACTAAGGAGTTAGTTCGAATTAACGTTTAACTGCTGTGTCTAGGCAGTTAGTTCGGACTAAGGGGGATTTAAAAATGGTGGCGCCAGAGAACATGCAAATGAAGCCCGGGATATTTAAATCCCGGGCTTCATTTGCAACTCCGGTTGCCCTCATTTGCCTACCTAGTTCGAACTAACGAGCTAGTGTAGACATACCCCTACTCTTAAATATCTCCAGAGATGGGGATTCTACAACCTCCCTAGGCAATTTATTTCAGTGTTTAACCACCCTGACAGTTAGGAACCTTTTCCTAATGTCCAACCTAAACCTCCCTTGCTGCCATTTAAGCCCATTGTTTCTTGTTCTATCCTCAGAGGCCAGGAAAAACAAGTTTTCTCCCTCCTCCTTGTGACACTGTTTTAGATACTTGAAAGCTTCTATCATGTCTCCTCTCAATCTTCTCTTTTCCAAACTAAACAAGCCCAATTCTTTCAGTCTTCCTTCATAGGTTATGTTCTTTAGAACTTTAACCATTCTTGTTGCTCTTCTCTGGACCTGCTCCAATTTCTCCACATCTTTCTTGAAATGTGGTGCCCAAAACTGGACACAATACTCCATCTAAGGCCTAATCAGTGCAGAGTAGAGCAGAAGAATGACTTCTGGTGTCTTACTCACAACACACCTGTTAATGCATCTTAGAATCATGTTTGCTTTTTTTGCAACAGTGTTACACTGTTGACTCATATTTAGCTTCTGGTCCATTATAACTCCTAGATCCCTTTCTGCCGTACTCCTTCCTGGACAGTCGCTTTCCATTCTGTATGTGTGAAACTGATTGTTCCTTCCTAAGTGGAGTACTTTGCATTTGTCCTTATTACAGTTCATCCTGTTTACCTCAGATCATTTCTCCAATTTGTCTAGAAATTTTGTGTGATATTGAGTGTGTCCTCTTCGTCTGAAGTATTTGGCTACTAGCTACTGCCAGAAGGAGGGTATTAAGCTTGATTGACCAGTGTTCTGATTTGATGGCAAATCCTCTGTGCTTGCCAACAAGACTTGGCATCTTAGTCTGAAAATGGCATGTTAGTTACCTTGGTGGAGAGATTCTTGCAGAAAGAAGGGGATCACTGCAGACTCTTCTGGGATTCTATAGACACAACTAAAACCTCTCTCCCCTTTCTTGTCCGGTCTTTTCCAGACATTGCCAGAAATGTGTTCAGAGCAAGATGAGCTGGATTTCCTGATGGAAGCTCTTATTATCAGGTATGTTAATAAAAGGTAACCAAAGGCTTCTGTAGAATATGCATGGCAAAGCACCTGTCCTATAAGCTAAAAAGAGCTCGGTTGTGAAATATGTTAATACATTCATACTGCACTTTCCACCCAAAAATATCAAAGTGCTTGACGATGGCTGGTGGGCACTATTCTCTTTTTTAAAAAATCAGATGGTGAAACTTAGGCGCAGAAAAAATGATGCCAGTATTCTTAAAAAGGTCCACTGAGTTTAGATGCTTTAAATTCTGGATCCCCAACCTGCAACACCAAGACCTAGGTTTTCAAACATAATTACCTCTCCCGTTGACGTGAAGCTCAGCACACAAGATGGTCATAAGAAAATAAGACCAGCCGTACTAGGTCAGACCAAAGGTCCATCTAGCCCAGTATCCTGTCTACCAACAGTGGCCAGCACCAGGTACCCCAGAGAGGGTGGACCGAAGACAATGATCAAGCGATTTGTCTCCTGCCATCCCTCTCCAGCCTCTGATAAACAGAGGCCAAGGACACCATTTTATCCCCTGGCTAATAGCCTTTTATGGACCTAACCTCAATGAAATTATCTAGCTTCTCTTTAAACTCTATTATAGTCCTAGCCTTCACAGCCTCCTCTGGCAAGGAGTTCCACAGGTTGACTACACGCTGTGTGAAGAAGAACTTTCTTTTATTAGTTTTAAACCTGCTACCCATTAATTTCATTTGGTGTCCTCTAGTTCTTCTATTATGGGAACTAATAAATAACTTTTCTTTATCAGCCCTCTCCACACCACTCATGATTTTATAGACCTCTATCATATCCCCCCTCAGTCTCCTCTTTTCTAAACTGAAAAGTCCCAGTCGCTTTAACCTCTCCTCATATGGGACCCGTTCCAAACCCCTAATCATTTTAGTTGCCCTTTTCTGAACCCTTTCCAAGGCCAAAATATCTTTTTTGAGGTGAGGAGACCACATCTGTACACAGTATTCAAGATGTGGGCGTACCATAGTTTTATACAGGGGCAGTAAGATATTCTGGGTCTTATTTTCTATCCCTTTCCTAATAATTCCTAGCATCCTATTTGCCTTTTTGACAGCCGCTGCCATTTTGTTGCCCAATCACTCAGTTTGGTGAGATCTTCTTGGAGTCCCTCACAGTCTGCTTCTGTCTTGACTATCCTAAACAGTTTGGTATCATCTGCAAACTTTACTACCTCACTGCTTACCCCTTTCTCCAGATCATTTATGAATAAGTTGAAAAGGATTGGTCCCAGGACTGACCCTTGGGGTACACCACTAGTTACCCCTCTCCAATCTGAAAATTTACCATTTATTCCTACCCTTTGTTTCCTGTCTTTTAACCAGATCACAATCCAGGAAAGGATCTTCCGTCTTATCCCATGGCCATGTAATTTACACAAGAGCCTTTGGTGAGGGACCTTGTCAAAGGCTTTCTGAAAACCTAAGTATAGTATATCTACTAGATCCCGCTTGTCCGCATGTTTGTTAACCCCTTCAAAGAACTCTAATAGATTAGTAAGACATGATTTCCCTTTACAGAAACCATGTTGACTTTTGTCCAACAATTTATGTTCTTCTACATGCTTCACAATTTTATTCTTTACTATTGTTTTGAATAATTTTCCCGGTACTGAAGTTAGACTTACTGGTCTGTAATTGCCAGGATCGCCTCTAGAGCCCTTTTTAAATATTGGTGTCATGTTGGCTACCTTCCAGTCATTAGGTACGGAAGCCGATTTAAAGGATAGGTTACAAACCACAGATAATAGCTCAGCAATTTCCCATTTAAGTTCTTTTAGAACCCTTGGATGAATGCCATCCGGTCCCGGAGATTTGTTAACATTAAGTTTTTCTGTTTGTTCCAAAACCTCCTCTAATGACACTTCAATCCGGGACAGTTCCTCAGATTCATCACCCACAAAGGACGGTGCTGATTCAGGAATCTCCCCAACGTCCTCAGCCGTGAAGACTGAAGCAAAGAAATAATTTAGTTTCTCCGCAATGGCTTTATCGTCCTTGATTGCTCCTTTTATAGCTCGATCATCTAGGGGACCCACAGGTTTTTTAGCAGGCTTCCTGCTTCTAATGTACTTAAAAAACATTTTGTTATTTCTTTTTGAGTTTTTGGCTAGCTGTTCCTCAAAATCTTTTTTTGCTTTTCTTATTACATGTTTATACTTGATTTGACAGTGTTTATGTTCCTTTCTATTTATCTCACTAGGATTGGACTTCCACTTCTTAGAAGATACCTTTTTGTCCCTCACTGCTTCTTTTACATGGTGGTTAAGCCACGGTGGCTCTTAAGCCACGGTGGTCCAGCCCTGTTTGTCTCACACTGGGCACACAAAGTTAGTGGGCAGTTTTGGCAATGTTGGCATCAAGTAATTGGCCCTCCCAAGACCACACGGAGTCAACGGCAGAGTCATAGATCTCAGGCAGCCAATTTTGCATTCCACTACCAGACACAAATACCCCCTGCTTAACGTGTTTCTGTACTGCTGCTGGAGCAACCCTATTCCCAGTCCCAGGCATAGCAAAGTCAGAGGGGAGCTGGAAGATGTGGGTGAGCTGGGTGCCTGCCCAAAGCACAGTGAATTGTGTTGTGGATGTCTTCTGCTTCCCAAAGCCCACAAGCTGGGTCAGCCCCAGAATATAGGGAGTGCAAAGGGTACAGAAAATCTTTCTTCTCATCCCCTCCATTCCCCTTCCAAGCATAGAGGCAGACTAACAGAGCATTGGGGCCAGTATCTTGAAAGCAGTAGTGTTGCTAATTAGGTCTACCTGGTAGCATCACCATATCTACCTTTGACTGACTCAGCTCCCCTTCAGAGTTGTTTCCTCTGGAAAAAAAATCTTTTCTGTGGTAGGGCAAGTTGACTCTCCATATCAAGCTTTTGGTTCAAACCTGCCCTTCAGTTTAGTCTTACTCTCTCTGCAGCAAGTTCAACCATCAGAACATTGTGCGCTGTATCGGAGTCAGCTTGCAGGCACTTCCACGCTTCATCCTGCTGGAACTTATGGCTGGAGGGGACCTGAAATCCTTCCTGAGGGAGACACGTCCTCGACCGGTAAGGGACGATGGGGGGAATTATCTTTTTCCACGAGCTTTGCAGCTTGTGCCTTGTTATCCCTGCTAGTTCTTTCTTGTTTAACCACACTGGTGTTCTACTTGGCTCCTCTCCTAAGAGTTTTCCAAGTATTACAAATATCTAAAATAAAGCAAACTCACACCACTAACCTATTAATAAATGGGAATAACCTCTAGTGATTTTACCCTAATAACGTGCTGCCTCCACATAATTAGAATCTGTTTATTTTCTGAGAGACTAGATGCTTTGAAGTAGGGACGTTAGATATCGATTAATTAAATAATTGTGTAACTGCACAAAATCTTAGCGGTTACACAATTATTCGATAGTCCCCAGGGGCACAGGCAGCAGCCAGTGTGCCCCCAGCCCCACTCCTGAGGAACTCCTGGACTGTAAGATGGATAGAAAGCTGGCTAGACTGTCGGGCCCAATGGGTAGTGATCAATGGCTCGATATCAGGTTGGCAGTCAGTTTCTAGTGGAGTGCCCCAAGGATTGTTTCTAGGGCTGCTTTTGTTCAACATCTTTATTAATGACCTGGATGAGGGGATGGATTGCACCTTCAGCAAGTTTGCGGATGACACTAAGCTAGGGGGAGACGTAGATACGCTGGAGGGCAGGGATAAGGTCCAGAGTGACCTAGACAGATTAAAGGACTGGGCCAAAAGAAATCTGATGAGGTTCAACAAGGACAAGTGCAGAGTCCTGACCTTGGAACAGAAGAATCCCAAGCATTGTTACAGGCTGGGGACTGACTGACTAAGTAGTAGTTCTGCAGAAAAGGACCTGGGGGTTACTGTGGATGGGAAGCTGGATATGAGTCAACAGTGTGCCCTTGTAGCCAACAAGGCTAATGGCATATTAGGTTGCATTAGGAGGAGCATTGCCAGCAGATCTAGAGAAGTGAATATTCCCCTTTATTTGGCTCTGGTGAGGCCACATCTGGAGTATTGCATCCAGTGCTGCCCCCCCTCCTCACTATAGAAGAGATGTGGACGCATTGGAGAGGGTCCAGCGGAGGGCAACCAAAATGATTAGGGGGCTGGAGCACGTGGATTTGGGTTTGTTTAGTCTGCAGAAGAGAAGAGTGAGGGGGGATTTGATAGCAGCCTTCAAATTCCTGAAGGAAGGTTCCAAAGAGGATGGAGAAAAGCTGTTCACAGTAGTGATGGATGGCAGAACAAGGAGCAACAGTCTCAAGTTACATTGGGGAGGTCTAGGTTGGATATTAGGAAAAACTATTTCACTAGGAGGGTAGTGAAGCACTGGAATGGGTTACCTAAGGAGGTGGTGGAATCTCCATCCCTAGAGGTTTTTAAGTCTCAGCTTGACAAAGCCCTGGCTGGGTTGATTTAGTTGGGATTGGTCCTGCTTTGGGGAGGAGGCTGGACTTGATGACCTCCTGAGGTCTCTTCCAGCTCTATGATTCTATGATCCTAACCCCTTGCCACCCCATGCTACGGCCTCTATTAGAGGCAGCAGTGTGGGTTGGCAGCAGCCTCTGTCTGCAGGGGGCCCGGGCTCCCCATGGACAGGGGCTAAACCGGCATCACCCTGCCTCAGCCGTCCACCCCTGCACTGCTACCTCTGACGTGTTGCCATAGAAAGGAGCGCTGATAGTGCAGCAGGTGGTGTCTCCTGTCTGAGTCGATACAGAACCAGCCCTTACGCCAGGACAAGCTGTGCTGCTGGAGGTGCTGGCTGTCAGATGACAACAAGGAATGATGTGTGGCCGAGCTCATCATTACGCCACAATGTGGTGCTTGTTTCAGCTCATTAAATGAAAGAGAGGCCAATACAGCAGTGACCTGGGCCCTGGTGGAGAAGCACCAAGGACATGCATTTTGAGCTGCAGGCATTTTAACCTTTTTATTGCCGTAAAATGAGCCATATCTTCTGATGATAAAAGGTCTTTTATCTTCTTAGAATGAAATCACGGCCATTGCCTGATCTGAGGGTATTGTGTTTTCTTTGCCCTTTTGCTGTTTATACATACCGCCCCATGTGTCAGTGCTTTCATTTCCCCAGGCCAGCAGCTGCTCTGCTCAGCCTCTCTGACAGCTAGCAGTGAATAGAGTCAAGAGAGATGCAGAGACAAATGAGGGAATGTGTAAAGGTTCAGTCTGCCTGTGCTGTATGCCACAAGTGTTCTTTCCCTTAACCCTCTCCTTGCTTTCCAATCTCTTCCTTGAACTTCCCAGTCTTCATTAGGTGATCCAGGAATCAAAACATCAGATGTTACGTAAGGGACTATTGTTTTGATAAGGTAGCCCTGCTGAGCAGCTTCCATATCGCTCATTTTTGGACCTGAATTAGATACCCTCCCCAACCCCTGCATCTCATCCCCCACCAAGCTCTGAGAGAGAAGAGGTTCAAACACTAAACCCAGCTTCACCCTTGGGACCCACGTATCAATGTCACCATCTGTCTGAGTATTGCTAGGAAAGAGTTCCAGTGCGACTCCTTCTTTAGCTCCTAGAGTAGCTTTCAGGTGACTGGAGTCACCCTCTGGGTCTGAGAATGCTGTCTCCATTGTTCACCCAGCACCTGCTAATTTGGGAAGTACAAAACCAGGGTTGCACTCACTGGTGAGATACCAGAGATGGGTGGTGTGCAGTTATCATAATATCAAGATCAAAGGTGAGCCCATGCCAGAAAGTTCAGTCCAAACTCCCCCAAATATCAGGGATTTATTGACACAGGGCTTTTGTTCTGTGCTACTTCTAATGAAGATCAGTGTATTTAGGGACTATACTTCCCTCCTCAGCAGTGAGACAAGTGCTATAGATTTTGGAGGCACTTAGCTGCTTAAATTCCAGGAACCGAAGCCTTCACATACCAAGAACATTGCAGAATTTTTTCTGTGGAGCTCATAGCCCTATCTGTTTGATCTTTTCTTGCCTGGAAAAGCTATCAGAGGATGGCTTTGGAAGATAAGCAGTAATTTTTCCACCTTTGTATCCTACAGCCTGTTGTGCAGGGTGGTGATTATACTGAACAATAGTCAAAATTTGTTTTGCGGTCACCTTCACTTTTAGAGAGCTTGGGCCTAAGGGAGAAGAATAGGGGGAAGCAAAGATCTCATTTTAGTGCTTCCAATGCACCCCTTGCTCTAAAAGCTAATTGTACTGCAGTTTCCAGCTGACTTGTTCCTTTCCTCTGGAGAGCAAAATCTGTAAAGCAGATTCTCTGTGTGTCAAGGTACTCCCTGCAGAAAATGGGTCTGAAAATGCTGTCTTTCAAATTACTCAGATAAATTGTCATTGCCTGATAAGTCTCATCTGCTTTACAATTTCAATTTAGCCAAAATAAAAAATATAACAAATTTGATCAAGAAAGGAAAAGTGTCACAGTCAACTTGTGGCTTCATCCCTCCACCTCCCTTGCGTGTTAGCCCAATTCAGCCAAGGATCGGTCTCTGCATCCCAAAACACTGGACTTAATCACTGTGTATTCATGGAATTGCCTGCTGGATTCTGAACCATGATTACAGGAGAAAGGCCATTAGATGGGTTGAAAGGTTTGAAGGAGTCCCTGCTCAGACCCCTAAAAGCTGGTAAGACATCAGCAACCTTTCGCTGATCATGTTAGCCATATGTTCAATGTGGGTGAATCACTCCGGCTATGTCTACACAGCATAGACCGCATCTCCCCTACAAGCAGTTATTTCGACATAATGTCAAAATAATGTTGAACTGCAGGAGTTCTTACTCCATCTCCTGTAACACTCATTTTATGAAGAGTAAGGGTACGTCCGCACAGCAGCATTATTTCGGAATAACTGATGTTATTTCAAAATAAAAAAATGCATGTCTGCACAGCAAACCATTATTTCAAAATAATGTCGAAATGGAGGACTTCTTCGACTCCTGTAGCCCTCATTTTATGAGGTATAAGGGAAGTTGAAGGAAGAGTGTCCTTCCTGCTGTGTAGACAGCACCAAAATCCTAATTAACCTATTTCAACTTCAGCTACGCAATTGACTTAGCTGAAGTTGTGTAGCTTAATTTGATATTTGCCCTGCTGTGTAGACATACCCTAAGGGAAGTCGAAGGAAGAGTGCTCTTCCTTGGACTTCCTGCTGTGTAGACAGCGCCAAGTCACAATGAGTTGTTTCTACTTAAGCTACACAATTGACATAGCTCAAGTTGTGTAGCTCATTTCGGCTTTCGCTCTGCTGCGTAGACGTGCCCTCAGTAACCAGCAGAGTAACACTAAATGGCTGTGTCTACACTGGGCCACTTATTCCGGAAAATCAGCCGCTTTTCCGGAATAAGCTGCGAGCTGTCTACACTGGCCCTTGAATTTCTGGAAAAGCAACGATGCTCTACTGTACAAAAGCAGCCGCTATTCCGGAAAAACTATTCTGCTCCCGCTCAGGCATAAGTCCTTATTCCGGAACACTGTTCCGGAAAAGGGCCAGTGTAGACAGCCCAGTAGTCTTTTCCGGAAAAAAGCCCCGATCGCGAAAATGACGATCGGGGCTCTTTTCCGGAAAAGCGCGTCTACATTGGCCACAGATGCTTTTCCGGAAAAAGGGCTTTTCCGGAAAAGCAGCCTGCCAATGTAGACGCTCTTTTTCCGGAAATACTTATAACGAAAACTATTCTGTTTTAAGCATTTCCGGAAATTCATGCCAGTGTAGACACAGCCGATGAGAGTCTCCATCAATAAGTGAGGTTTCAGGGAACAACACTATTCACAAATAAATAAAAGCCCAGCCCTTTTCTCCTATGTATAAGGGCACTTCAGTAACCCCTATGCATGTTAAACAAACTGTGTGTACAGTAAAACATGGGCACGATATTGTGCCTACACTGTCCTTTTTGCTTACTTGTGTGTATGATGCTGTGCAGATGAGACTCTGCTCAGACAGCATATAATGCAGGGGACTTTGTAGTTCTTTGGTGATGCCTTCACAGTCAGATACTTAGGGCTGAGTTTTCCCCAACCCTTTCAGGCAAGACTAAGACCTCAGTTGTAGCAGCCAGGGCTTGCGGTTTCCTGTTCAATTGTGCATGCTGCAAACTGCAGGGAGAGTAGGAGCTGGTTCCAGTCCCAATCAGCTAGTTAGACTAAAGTCCATTATGGCTCCGAGCTGGAGGGTGGCAAGGAGCAGTGTACCAGCACCTAGTGACCTTTCATCATGAAGGAGGGAGGCATTTAGAGTCCGAGGTGCTAATGAATCAGACTGGTGTGTATGCCAGCGCAAGTTAGTGTTGAAAGATGTTGCTCTTTAATCAGTATGCAAAGTGCTGGCATGCACACGATCAGCAACATCACTTAAAGGCTGTTCTTCCTCTTCAAAGTACATCATGTAATTCTGTAGGAATGCACCCTCCCCTTCCTTTCACAAGACATCAGCTCCCTGCACTGATGTACTCCTGGAAATTAAGTTAAATAACTAAAGGGGCAATTGCTAAAAATCCACACACATGTGACAGAAGAATGTAAATGCCAAGTTGAGACTCAGGCACTAAGATACTATATAAAAGGATGGGTTGATGGTTTAGGGTGACCTAAGGGAGTATTAATAATGGGATGAAGCTGAGTAAAGATAAATTCAGGTTAAATATCACTAAAATACTTATAACACTGAGACTGTGGACTGATCTCCCAAGAGGTAGTGTACACACATTTAAAGCTAGACTGCATAAAGCAGTGAATACTAATTCTGCTGTGGATGGGAGGTGAATTACATGGCCAACTACAATAAGATATCGGATCTAATGATTCTGATTCTGCATTTAACCCCACTTTGTACCTTGTCTTTTGGTAGAGCCAGCCCTCTTCCCTTTCTATGCTGGATTTGCTACATGTGGCTCGTGACATTGCATGTGGCTGTCAGTATTTGGAAGAAAACCACTTCATTCACAGGTAAGGTCATTTGCTATTGAGGACTCTTTACTGCTGCCCTTTGTATGTATAAATATATATTGTATTGTATTATAGTATATTGGCTAGCATGTGTAAGTAATTCTGTGGTGAATATATTTGTGTATCACTGTCCTCTAGTGGCCAGATGTTTTCTGATGAGCCAAAAGCCTGACTAATAGTAATTATGCACAGGGACTCTACTGCATCTCGAGTGAGGAAGGCCTGTAGTCATGATGCCAAAGAACTTGAGCTCTCTCCTCAGTGGCACAGCATGCGTTCAGTTTATTTATGCATCTTGCCAGAGGGGTTGGAATTAGACTTCCAGCAGTGAATTTATTGTACTATTCATTAGGCACCAATAGCTGAGTTAGTCATTGCCTGGTTCCTGTGTATGCGTTGAGAGCTATATTAAGAATTGACCCATAGTGTTCTTCATGGCAAGGCCCACCACAATAGTCAAATAAGGATACACAAAATATTGGGCAAAATAATGCAGATCTCTTCCACATTCTTCACACCTTCCTAGATAGCAGCTTTTCATTATCTTCAACAGTTTTAGTTTTCAGGAAATTGAGAGGTTTGTAGCATCCAGCATGGTTAAGTATAGCCACATTTGTGGTCCTTCTCTCTGCAAAGTCAGAGGTGGTAATGGATACAGAGACAATCAGTGTTCTTCCTTTAGCTGTTCTCTATCTCTCCCCAATATAGTGACCAGTCATTGGAGTCACATGGAGCAGAATTGCATTGCTTTGCAGGGGATCTGCAAACTTGTTCCTGTCACATTTTACTGTCATTCACTCCTCTGAAGTCATTTTGCCAGGCCTGTGCTTTTGGTTTTCATTCTAGTAGGAAGGGAACCAAGACACATGGGTATATCCTAAGATTCTGGGTGATGGTTCAGCCCCAAGATGGGTGAGAGTTTAAGGCAAGAGCATGGGCTCAGGATTTGGTTCAGGAGTCTGTTTAGTTTCTGATATGCAGGTTTGACCATTTTCCTTGTAGCACTGACCATTCTGCCTGCCTCTGGCATAGATGTGACAAAGATGTACTAGGTACAGGGGCAGCAGTCATGATTGAGACAGTGTGTGCTGCTGGAAAACACGAGTTATCCGATTCAGATTTTTACTGGCGACTTTCTAGAGTCTCCACAGCACTTGCGAAGAAAGGATTTTGGCAGGAGGCCCCGCCATACTGATTTATCCATGCATGACAATAAAAAGCATTAAAGAATGATTACGAATAGCAAATGGAATGTATACCATCAAAAGATTTCTACTGACACAATGGGATGCAGCTTGTTGTCCGCAGATAATGACTTCCCTGGGATTTGAGGGGCTTCAGCCCCTGAGGAAAGCAGGCTGCCATTTCCTTTCGCTTTTGCAAAACTGTTGAAAGGTGAAATTATTTTTTCTCTTTTCTCTCTCCTTCTCTCTCACACAGGGACATTGCTGCCAGGAACTGTCTCCTTACTTGTCAAGGGCCTGGGAGAGTAGCTAAAATTGGAGACTTTGGAATGGCCCGGGACATATACAGGTAAAAGACATCAGTTTAGGGTATCACTAGGCAGAAATTTACCAGAAGAGAGGATTATATACCTAGTTAAGTGTCTGCTCTATGTAACCCCAGGAAAGAGATATTTCTGAAATCCTTCCCATGTGACTCCCTTTCTCATGCTACTGTTTGCTTTCAGGCTGTGTAGATCAACAGGCCTCTCGCTGTTTCCTCACAGCCTTGTCCTGGGAAGAGTTTTCCACATGGCCAGAGAATACTTCCCCCTTCGGATTCCATCCCCAGCTCTTTTCCTCTCACTTTCTCAGCACTAAGTGGCATAAGTCACTGATGTGCCCTTTTGTTCTATGGCTCCAAATCACTTTTAGTTTAATCTCCCTGCTCCTTGGTGTTGACCCTATTCCCTTCTATTTTTTTTTTATTGTAAGTAAATCTCCTCAGTTGACGCATATAGAGGAGGAAAGATCAGGAGACTGTAATTACCCAAACTGGAATTTAGCCAGGCCTCTAGGGTTAATGACTCTGCGCTTACAAGACGTGCCAGGAAATCTTTAATGATCACAAGTGGTCAGGACCTCCGTTTACTTTTCATCTGCAACTCAGCACCCCTTAACACTGTACTGGAGATTTGGGTCACTGCTGTCTCAGTGGGAAGAAAGCTACTTACTGAATCACCAACACAGTTTCTTGCTATACCTTGGGTTTTTCTGTTAAGGGGTCACCCATACAAGTACTGAGGAGGTCAGACCCTGCTTAGCTTGGGCTCTGAGCAGACTGCAGCCTGAAGTGATGCATTCCTAATAGACTTCATATGCACTCTGGCTTTTCTCACCTACCATGCTAAGAATGCTGCCTGTAGTATTCTCATAGACACATAAAATGTAAGGCCAGAAGGGACCATGATGTCCCACTTCCTTCACATCTGAGGCCACAGAACCTCACCCTCCCTGTACTAGACCCCTAATGAGTTACTGATGTCCTTAACTCATCGTTTAAAGCTGGGTGAGTGGTGAGGACAGGACGGATTTTCTGGGCCACTGGGCAAGGTGTGAGGAGTGCTCTTTGCTCCCAGAAAGACCTGAGCCTCAAGAGGAAGAGCAGGGCTGAGGACCGGCAGTCCTCAGGGCCACCCAAAGTGTGTCCACCCCAGAGCTCTCAAGAGTTGCCCAAAGTGTACCGCCTGGCTCTCTGGCAGCAATGTGAAGGACAGCAGTGCAGGGCTCCCCTTTGGCAGGTCTGGTTTAAAGAATCCAAGTTACAGAGACTCTTCCATTTACACTAGCTTAAACCTGTAAGTGACCTAGGTCCCATGCGGCAGAGGAAGGCAAACATTTCTCAGGATCTCTGCCAGTCTCACTTGGCAGACTTGTTTCTGATGGTTGAGTTGATTTGTTTGTTACAGGTTTTTATTATTTTTTAAGGGGTGCTTACCTGGATGTGGGTATCAATGCTGTGACATGTCGTTCCTGGCACAGTGAGAGAGCTTTTCCAAAGAGGAAGGTTTTGCTTTAAGACTCGTGAATAATTCCATTGATTTCACTGAGACCCACCCGTAGGATTACTCATGGGTTGCAGGATCAGGCAAAGTCAGAGAAAGTACAGAGCTGTCTGTCCCTACATGAAATGCCTGTTTAAACTGTTTCTATGAATAGAAAAAGATCTTGTCAGTATAATATCTGCCTTGCTGCTTCATTTACAAGAAAAGATCCAATTTAAGCTCTTTACTAAACAACCCAGCCTACAGGCTCCTAACTGTAATCCTTTAATTAGAGAAGTATTATATTAATGCCACTTTCTTTCTGAATCCTGGGCCGACTGTTTGCTTTGTTTTTCCTCTGCAGAGCCAGCTATTACCGAAAGGGAGGGTGTGCAATGCTTCCAATCAAGTGGATGCCACCCGAGGCCTTTATGGAAGGAATATTTACATCAAAAACTGATACGTGGTGGGCTTTTTTCTTGATCTATCAACTTCCCATTATAAAAGGAACATGTCCCCATCATTTCCTACCTCCCCCCCCCAAAAAATGAAGAGTTGGAGCTTTGAAAACAAAATAGCTAGTGGAGGGGACGTGGGAGTGCATAGCCAGATTCTTGCAAAGGGAATGCTCTCACCTGGGAGCAACGGATCTGGCTTAGATGCTGTATTGGTTATGAACAGGTGATCTAGCGAGGGAGATGCCAGCTGTAAGCTACTGAAAGGAGTCTAGTCTCTTGGTAGGAGCAAATCATCTTTCAGTGGCAGGTGCAGACACAGCCAGTATCAGAGGAGCTAGTGGAAACGCAACCTCAATTGCCACCGTCTCTTGGCCTGATGATGCAGCACATTGTTGGGTGTTTTCAAGTGCCAGGAGAGGGTGGAGGAGATTGAGCTGACCTGTAAATTGCTGAGTCAGCAAAAGGCTGTAGACCCCTCCGAAAGTGCAGGATCACTTGCAGGGTTTGCATCTGAGCCTAGCCCTGCTCACTCTGCTGTGGCTGACAGCCGCTAATGTCAGGAAGATGAAGGCCGGTGTTGACAGAGCAAGGGTGCTGCAGATTGGGAAAGAAAAGCTCAGGCAAAGCTGAGTCGGGAAGCCAGGAGTGCAGAAGAGTGCTTGGGGAGAGGAGGAGACTGAAGCCATCAGTACTGCTGTTCACCAGCTGCCTTCCCACAGTGTGAAGTGAGAGTACAGCCTGCTTCACAGCTGATGGGGACAGTCAAATGAATGCTGAGGAGATTGTATTTCAGTCTTCAAGTGCTACATGCTCAACCAGAGACCAAGTTGTGATGTAACCTAGGGAATATTCTAATTTTCATTCCCTGAAACATATGGTTATAGCAAGGGGTCACTTGTATCATCAATACAAGAGCAAAGTGAGAGCTGTTGCTTATTCAGGAACATAGGATTTGCCATAAAGGGTCCAGCAATGGCTAATATGCAAGTCCTCAAAAGAAGGCAAGTTCTTCCACAGCAATACACCTGTTGTATACAATTATTATGTGCTAGACACCAACTGCATATGATTATTTCCTCACCTTGCTGGATACTTGTACTCTAAATCATGACATTTAATTACCAAATCACAGTCTTGGCTTGCTTAACAACTAGGCTACGTCTACACTGGCCCCTTTTCCGGAAGGGGCATGTAAATTTCACCTATCGTAGTAGGGAAATCCGCGGGGGATTTAAATATCCCCCGCGGCATTTAAATAAAAATGTCCGCCGCTTTTTTCCGGCTTTTAAAAAAGCCGGAAAAGAGCGTCTACACTGGCCCTGATCCTCCGGAAAAAGCGCCCTTTTCCGGAGGCTCTTATTCCTACTTCAAGTAGACGCTCTTTTCTGGCTTTTTTAAAAGCCGGAAAAAAGCGGCGGACATTTTTATTTAAATGCCGCGGGGGATATTTAAATCCCCCGCGGATTTCCCTACTACGATAGGTGAAATTTACATGCCCCTTCCGGAAAAGGGGCCAGTGTAGACGAGCCCCTATTGTTACTGATCCCCATAAAGTCATCCAGTACTACTTTTACATCAGCCACTTTGTCTTAGAGTTCTCCTGCATCTGGGAGTTCCACAGATTGACTGACTAAAGGGTGCACAAAGTAAATACTGGTTTAAATGGCTTTAAGTTCATATCCCCTGAATTGTGATACTATTTTGTGCCTGTGTCTTTGACCTTCCTTCTTTCTGTTCTGTGTCCAGGTCCTTTGGTGTGTTGCTGTGGGAGATATTCTCTCTTGGATACATGCCTTATCCTAGCAAAAGTAACCAGGAGGTTCTGGAGTTCGTGACAAACGGGGGAAGGATGAATCCACCCAAAAACTGCCCTGGCCCTGTGTATGAGACTAACTCATTTTGTGCATCTACACTTTGCTCTAGCCAGAAGATTTTAACTTTAGTACCATATATCTAATGAGCTTCTTAATGAAATGAAGTTCCAGAGACTTTTTCCATACTGGTTATCTGTTAGCCCTTGTAAGTTAGTCATCGGTGCCTTCTTGGGAAGTATTGACCTTTGGCTAGTATGTTTATAAAATATCCGTCAAAAGCGCTGTCTTTCAGATTAGATGAAAACTGCAAGCTCTCATCACCTGTGGCCAAAAAGATCCCTGGTGTTGCTCACAAGTAGCAAAACCTTGGCTCAGTTATGCTCTAACCTGCCTACTGAAAATTCCCTGAGTGGTTTCAGTTAAGGCTAGTTCATTTTTCTGACATGTTGCTGGATTCCCCCCACAGGTGGTGGGCAAAGCAATCCATCTCCATGGATGGCCTGCTTTTTCAAATATGCTCTAGGGGCTCAGTGCCTTGGAAAATGGGTCAAATTCTGTGGACTCTTTGGAATAAAAGGTAGCACACAGTTATCAGTAGATCACCTGCAATGCAGCATGGCTTCCAGTTTCGTTTCACAAAATGATACTTCCCTCACCAGCCAACCAGGGCAGTGTGTGACAACAGCAGGTTACTTCCTGTCTTCATTTGAATGACCCAGCTAAGGCTTTGTGGGAAAGGAATATTGTGGTTTGGAAGGAATATTTTCAAAGGATGTATGGGAGAAGAGACTCCTGGCAAGGAATCTGTGTGGGAATTCCCCCTCCACCCTTTCTTATTGGTTTGATTTTAAGTTGGAGTTGGAGCAGCTTCCCTCTCCAGAGGTGTTTTTAGCAATAACCACTTGGTTAGATCTCCTACATGGCAACGGCCTGTCTTGTTTAAATATACAAGCAGTGTCAATTTCATGACATGTTCCTAAGGGCAGCATTTACGAATATATTTGGCCCTTGATTTGCATGCAGGTGGATAGTGGTATGGAACCTAATGCTTGAACTCACAACAGGATGGACTTTTTAACTGGCCACGGAAGGTGACAAGCAACACTTGGGCTGTGTCTAGACTGGCCAGATTTTCCGCAAAATCATCTGCTTTTGCGGAAAAACTTGCCAGCTGTCTACACTGGCCGCTTGAATTTCCGCAAGAACACTGACGATCTCCTGTAAGATTGTCAGTGTTCTTGCGGAAATACTATGCTGCTCCCGTTCGGGCAAAAGCCCTCTTGTGCAAATGATTTGCACAAGAGGGCCAGTGTAGACAGCACAGTACTGTTTTGCGCAAAAAAGCCCCGATGGCTAAAATGGCAATCGGGGCTTTTTTGCGCAAAAGCGCGTCTAGACTGGCACGGACGCTTTTCCGCAAGAAGTGCTTTTGCGGAAAAGTGTCTGTGCCAATCTAGACGCTCTTTTCCGAAAATGCTTTTAACGGAAAACTTTTCCGTTAAAAGCATTTCTGGAAAATCATGCCAGTCTAGACGTAGCCTTGGTGGGCTAGTGAGTACTGATGGTATCTATTTGGACCGTGGTGCACTGAAGTTCATTAATTACCTAGTAAATCTGCCTTTTGCTTTTCCTGCCTTTCATGATTTTCTTTCCTTCTGCTGTTGTAGGTATCGTATAATGACCCAGTGCTGGCAGCACCAGCCTGAAGACAGGCCAAACTTTGCCATAATACTGGAGAGGATTGAATACTGCACCCAGGTATTTCTTCTTCCATCTTTCAGCATGCGACAACCAGAAGGCAGCAAGCACTGTACTACTGCTGCGAGCTCCAAACACACATGTGGTGTGAGCCTGAAATCAGTGCTATGTAGCGTAGTGGAGGCAATGGCTCCTCCCTGCACTTCAGAAGGCCATGGTTCCATCTCATTGCCCAAAGAGAGGGTGATCCTCACAGCCCACGCACACACCCATAGGAGGAAGGCTGTGCACAGACAAAGCAACTCTGTGATTGCTGCTTTTACATCAAGGTATAGTTCCCCAACAAGCCAGAGGCCTGAGCGAGTCTACCAAGTTGCTGTCTAGCACTTGTACTCCTTTCTTCCCTAGCAGTGCTGCACGTGAATTGCCTGATAACAGCCCTCTTGCACCCTTAAGATGTTGCCCACTACTGAGCAGAGATGACTCTAACCCAGGGCACCAGTTCAAACAGACTTCTTGAACTGTGGAGAAATTTGAAAGCAGACCAAAATTTCTTGATTAGAGGCAAGATGGATCTGAACTGTGTGAAAGCAGGGAAAGGAAAAAGGGGATTTGTGTGCAGGGCTAGAGCAAGAGACAGGCTAACCCCAGAGGCCTAACAACGTGAGAGGGAGAATTGTAAGAGGCGTTGTCATCGCTTCGCTCTAAAAGATAAGAATGGAATGCTGACTCCAGGAACCTTGAGATAAGGTAGCATCTGAAGGGAATTGTGTGGGCAGAGAGGTTAACTGTTAGTCGTTGATGTATGTAATAGGAGAGTATATATACTTGTCTTTTACTGCGTGTACTTTGAAGATCTGTCTAAGGAGAGGGGGAGCCATTCTTCCCCCCCCTTCACGCCCTCCCCCCCACCCGTCCAGCCACAGGCTCCCTTTGCAATTGCTCGAAATAAACTGCCTCTGACTTGTTGCTTACCAAACACCGTGTGAGGACTTGTTTTCTTCCACAACTAGAACACTGGATGCAGTGATAAACTTTGGGGCAGTCTGAATCTAGATTTACATTACTTTTTTTTTAATCTTGGGCCCATCTCTAGCCTCATATGTTTCAGTGCCTCAGGCCACAGGCTCCCTTTGCAATTGCTCGAAATAAACTGCCTCTGACTTGTTGCTTACCAAACACCGTGTGAGGACTTGTTTTCTTCCACAACTAGAACACTGGATGCAGTGATAAACTTTGGGGCAGTCTGAATCTAGATTTACATTACTTTTTTTTTAATCTTGGGCCCATCTCTAGCCTCATATGTTTCAGTGCCTCAGACGAGGCCAGTTTTGAAAAGGCACTCTAAGGTCAGACAGACAAGGGACTGCACTGGGTCTCCTATCCTCAACCTGATTTCCCTTTTTAGTATACAACTCATCAAATCTGTTCTTGTAGTCTAGTGATCTAACAAGCGAACTAGGCAAGAAACTGTTGGCTTGCAAGCTTTGGCACAGACCCACAGAAGGCCAGGAAATCTGTCATTTTACCACTCTGAGCTTCAGTTTCACCATGTATAAAATAAGGGCTAGTACTGATCCACCCACCAGAGCGTGGGGAGGTTTTAATCCATTAATGTTTGAAAGGTGCTTTTAGATCCTCAGATAGAGGTGTTTATTCCAGTAATTTTTTTGGTTGCCTATTAATACAGGTTGAATGCCATAATTACTTAGGAGCCAGTGACTCGGGTGCTTTAGAAAATGTTACCCTGCGTGCCTAAAGACTCTACCCCCTTCCACACCATATTCTTGCTACATTTTTACTGTGACTGCACAAGAGACTGTTAAACTCTGAGTTCCAATCTGTATCATTCCAACATTCTCCTTGCAGTCTCAGTTGCACACAGAAATTCTTCAGTAAATTATCCAATGTGCAGTATTTCACAATGCTGTTAATAAAGTTTGGGCTGCTCTGGAAAAAGATGCTCTACAAATACAGTGCAATTATTATAAACAGAAAACAAATGGCAACTATGACTGAATATCAGCAATGACAACGGAGTTTGAAAGAATCTCATTGTTTTCCTCTATAGGATCCTGATGTCGTCACCACCGCTTTGCCTGTGGAATATGGTCCATCCATTGAGGAGCAGGAAAAGGTTCCAATGCGCCCAGAAGACCCCAAAGCAATCCCTCCTCTGATGGTTTCCCCACACCAAAAGACAGAAGGTGATAAGCAAGCCCTGCCTCCTCCACCCCCTCCACCCTCTGCCATCTCAGCTGAAAAACCTTTGGCTAAAGTGGCAGCCCCCGAGCCTCCAGTTCCTGCGCGACCAAGCCTGGAAGGGGGACACATCAACATGGCCTATGCACAATCCACCCCAGCTTCTGAGCTTCAGAAAGGCAGGGGATCCAGAAATAAGCCTACCAATCTCTGGAATCCAACATACGGCTCCTGGTTTTCAGAGAAGCCTGTTGACAAAAACAGTTCTCTGCTGGAGAAAGCAGTGTCCGAGAGGGAGAATTTGAGGCATGAAGGAAACGGTACTGTGGGGCCCGGTGTTGTGACTAATAGGCTGCCAGGCTCCTCCCTGCTCTTAGAACCATCTTCGCTAACAGCTAGTGTGAAGGAAGTGCCTCTCTTTAGGCTCCGCCACTTCCCCTGTGGCAACGTCAACTACGGATACCAACAGCAGGGCTTACCCCTGGATGTCTCTGCCCCACCTTGCGCGAGCAATTATGAGGACTCTGTCCTTAGAAACAAGAGCCACCTAGCCCATCAGGGGCCCTGAGAGCCCTCTGCACTCTTGACTCTCATTCAGTGTGGATCTTGAGCTTGGAGAATATGTCTGTGTCATCCAAGAGAGAGCAGACAGTGCTAACTTTCATTATGTGCCAACTAGCTCTAAAGTGCCACCCATTGAAGCTGTATTTTCTGATCACTTGAGAAGCTTCAACTCATCAGAGCCTGTACTACTACACAAAAAAAGGGGAGATATTAATGTTAACTGCAAGGCCCAGCTTTCGGTTGCATAAACTTATATGCATGATCATTGTTGTGTCGTGCCCTTTCCTGTGCGCTTCTTCTCAATTGTGTATGCTCCTCTTAAATGTAAGGGCAGGATTCACTGCCTGAGTGTTTCATGTTCGGGGTTTCCTTACCAAGCTGCCTGGTTGCTGTGGAATGGGATACTTGAAATCCCCTATGGAAGGCAGAGGTTTGAAATGACTTGCGAAAGTACCATTTATTCAAAATAAAAAGGATGGAACATCTCTGACTGAAGACACAAGGAACATTCCCCAAGCTGCGTTACAGCTGTAGCATTGTCTTCACAAGTCCTTGGACATTATGGTGTCATTGGCAGGACAATGAAAAGATGCCAGTCAGACTTATGGTTTGTGAGTAGGATGGGAAGTAAATTAACTGTAAAGGAAGAGACTGAAAAAAAAATGGCTTATATTTTTTGCAAAACCAAAGCCAAGGATAGTACTAGCCCTTGAAAATTCTGTGCTATAGAAAGGAACCGTTGTATTCTGTCAGAACTTTTTGTTGTTCAGTGGCATTCAGGTGGAATTTTGCAGGGTAAGAGAAGTTTAAAAGGCCTCTACAATGAGAAGTCACCAGTAAATGGAAATTAAAAGGTCTAAAATGCCCTTTGACATACCCTTTACTAAAACAGAAAGGCAGCAGACTTTGTACCCCAGCTGGATTCTAGGCAGTGTCTGCATTTGATGGGTTCATTACCCTACTTGTTCCTTTAACAGAATTTTTGTATGCTGCACTGTTGCATTCTGTACACCTTCTGCATGAAACGTGTGATGTTACAATATACACAAAGAATTGAATTCATTTGTAAAGATTACATAAATAATTTACAATATACTGTCATGGGGCTGCTGAAGCAGTAGTGCTGCCTAATAGAAATAGGCTTATGAGAGCAGAAATAGGCTTATGAGAAATAGGCTTATGAGAGCAGCACCAAAGGAATATAGAAGAGCTGGGTCTGGATCCAAACCCTTTAACTTTGGGGAAGTGGTTCAACCTCCAATTCTGGATTCACACTTTGCAGTAAATTTTCTAATGAACGAAACCAGAACCCCAGATTGAAACACCCTAAGCTTTGTTAGAAAAGGATCTAAATCTGAGGACTGTGACCAGAGACACCCATCTTTAAAATATGGGTGCAGTGAAGTTCTTATCCCTGCTCTGCCTCCCCCTACCCTTCTGGTAAATAATGCTGAAGTCTTAGTTGAGTGGTGTTGAAATTGTGCATCAAACTTTTTTTTTTTTTTAATGAGGCTTATGTTAGAAGGTTTGCGATGTGAAATGTACTAATTCTGTAAGTGCTTTGGACTTCACTCATCTGCTACTGGTATGTTGCATATCATGGCTGCATGGATTTCATGTCTATAGTAGGGGACTAGAAATCAGGTCCTTCTGTTGCAAAGACAGAGGCCTCTTCCACTGGAGCTAATAGGATATTTGTGAGCTATTGGGGTAGTTAGTCTTTTTAGTGGACCAGCCACTAGAGGAATGACTTGCTTACAGACTTGCTTACAGACACTGGAACAGGGCTGACAGTCCATCTAGCTTAGAACTGTTGCATTCACTACTCTTGCTACAAGAAGACAATGTGTTCCATGGAAGAGCAATGACTGAGCTTTACTTGATACTGTCAAGACTGTGTGCACAGCAATATTATCCATATGGAAAGCTGAAATGTCTAAAGAAAATTTCAGTTCTTTCTTTCCCAAAAAGGATCCAGATTTTTTTTTTCTCAAAGCGAGTCTAAGGGAAAGCTGTATGATCTTTTATTTTCTCTCGCTCCATTCATGGCAAGAAACAGCTCTTGCAGCATGTATAGCTGAGGGCAGAACCTAGTCTGTACAGGTACATGTTCTTAAACGAGCATAGCTGAAATGTTAATAAACTATGACTATCACTTTCAAGTATATTGATCTACAGACCTGGGGTTGCCTGACTCTGCAACTCCTCCAGTTATTGATCATTTCCAATTGCTTTGGTTAAAAGTACCATTTTTTAAAAAGATGCTCTAGAGCATCAGCAAAGAAAGATGAACAGATACATGGATATTTTTTTCCCCTTTTCCCTATTTGTGGTCACAGTAAGGCGATGTACTGAGTGTTTTTATTTTGCCTCTCCCGGGGTGTGCATATAGTCTATTATTGCAGGGAAGTCACCTTATGTGTGTGTCTCACAATGAGAGCAAAAACCATTACTACTAATGTCCCACATGAACAGCATGTTTTGGTCTGTGAAAAATGGGGAACTGTAATTCACATTTGCTGACAATATTTTCTTCTATCATATTTGGAGACTCTAATGTAGCATGAGATTTTCAAAGAGGCATAAACCTCAGCCACTTGCAACAAAATTTTCCTCTTGATGTGCAAAGTGCTTTGGACTCAGACAGTGGTGTTTATAGTGGCAATGGGCTTAGGATGAGCGGAGTGGGGTCTGCTGAATCTAGGCCAGGTTTAAGACTGAAGCTGGTTTTGAGCAAGGTTTAGCATTAGATTTTGGCCCAAATGGCAGAAATCTGAGTCAGCATTTCTCATGAAATTTCCATCATCTTGCACAATCTGTTCCAGGCACATCTAAAATATGGCCAGACATGAGCTCTTGTGGTTTTTGATGCAGTGCAGACATGGCGCCACAGAGGTAGGTCTGAATTCAGCTTCAAACCCACCCGAAAGACATCTCTTGGAATCCAAAGGCATTCAGAACATGTAGGTGTGGCTTATTTCTAATACAAAATGTAACTCATCTCAGCCTCTACCCACATTATGATGACTACATCACTTGTGTAGAAGCCCATTGCAGTATCTCTCTTCTGCCCGCCCCACCCCACCCCACCCCACCTTGCTGGGTTAGTGAAAATGCTGGGCATTGCCCCTGTTCCACTACTGCAAACTAACCACTGCAGTGGAGTAATGAAAAGAAACTCTTTTCCCCTGCTGCTGCCTCTTTGCTCTGTGACTAAAATAGCGTCACGCTCCCTGTATTACACATTGCCTGTTCACCTTACATTTTTAATGATAATAGGCTTGTGTAAAGGGGCTGAAAGATTCTGTGGTAATAGCTCTGCTTCACTTGGATTATCACTGCCATGCTTGGTGAAATGAGCTGCAGACATCCGTTCAGATAAGGAACTAAAAAGGCAATGTATCAAGACATGCATAACAAGTTTTTTTCTAAAGACAAGCCAAGCAGGTGGGAAAGGCAGCTGAACAGCAGCTTGGTTTGTTGCCTTAGTCTCCACATAACATTAGAACATGTTGTGAATGGGATTATAAACAGCAGCTGGAGAGTATTTACATGGTAATGCAATGATTGATGGATACTCAAGTTTGTTTGTTTTAAAGTATTTTACGTTAGAACCCACTCCCCAAAAAAGTCTATAGGATCTGAAGCCATTCAGTATTCATTAGTCAAATGCTATAGCATCAGTGTAATTCCACAGTATTTTCACGGAAGTGAATGAGGTTACTCTAGCTGTACACGAACAGAAAAAGCAAACTTGTCTTACTATATGGGGTAGAGGGTGAGTTGGCTGGAGCGAGGGAAATTGAGGGCTTGCTACAAGCAGGTTCAGTTTTAAATGCCTGACCACATGAGCTCACATGATTGGAGCATTTTGACATGTCATGTCTCCAGGAATCCCACCTGAAATACTGTACACTTTAAGCTTATTACAAACTTTTTTCCAGTACCAATATTTTAAAAGTAAACGTGTCTTTGAATAATAGTTATATAATATTCATGTAGCGAGTATTCACCCATTTTGGAACTAACCATATGTTTGGGCCTCGGTGAGTCTACTATAAAACCATCCCATTCAAATATCTTCATTTGAGTATTACACATAGGCACCTTCACGCTACAGTAAAATGGGGGCAGCAGTATAGCCTGAAATGAAAGCAGTATGATGGAAAAACAACTACACCTCTTCTCCCACAGGAACTGTTTTCCCCCACCCCATATATCTCCACGGAGTTGCAGGTTCAGACAGTTGTAAGGTGAATTACACCAGGGAAAGGATGTGGCTATGGCAGGATGACAGGAGATCATGGGTTAGGAAGTATAAGGCAATGGCTGCCATCTGAGTTTAGGTTGTTCCACTTCCTGCTCTATGGAGTCCTCCTGTGACTGTCAGGGAGTTCATGGGCAAGTTTACTTAAGGCCCTTGTTGTTTGAGGTAGCCGACTTCAGTTGACTGGTTCATTTTAAAAAAAGGTGATATGTTCAGTGTGTAATGTGGTGCGTCCAATTGTGATAGTCACTTCCCTGGCTGTGTCTGGTAAAGGTGGTGTATTGACAAAATGAGACCATAATGCATGACAGGCTTAGTCTGTTGTATACCAACAGGAGTTTAATTTTGTAAGCCTGGCCCTACACCTGACACCATCATCTTGGTAAAAACTTTGAAAAAGCATAAAATAGCCTTTTAAAGACATCACACGTTGCCTGCCCCACATTCCCCAAAAGAAAGTGTCTCAATTATCTGTAACGATGCTTCATTGGAATGTCTGTCACCGGTATAGCAGCTTATGCAACACTATGTATAAAGGAAGGGCCTACGCACTTCAGGGATATTAAAAGACATATTAATATATGGTCATTGAGTATTTTGTATGGAATAGTGTATTTGTATTGTAAACAAGTGTAGTGAACTAAAAAGCATGAATATAAATAAAATGACAAATTGACTCCAGCTCTTGGGTAATCTATTAATCTCTCCACTAATCATCTCAACAATTTGCTTGCAGGACATCAGCTTGGCTTGGCCTGTGGATGAACTGTTACCATCACTAAGCTGTGGAAGTAATTTTTATATACGACTTTTAGGTAGCAGTTGAATTAAGACCAAGTTATGTTATCTCCTTCAGGGTAGCAGCCATGGCTATTTAGCAAAGTAAGTGTGATTTAAAGTGTGTGGTGTTTCTTTTCCACAACTTTGTCTATCCTGTTGCCACTAGAAAAAGAGCTCTATTAGCTAAACAGACAAAGCTGAGTCTCCCACAGTCATACTGGAAGACCATCACAGACATGCATACTATGGTACAGTTTTTTGGCTGAAGAGCTCCTGTAGCTTTAGCAAAGGTTAAATATCATCCCATTAGTGTACAGACTAGCAAACAGAGCAAGTGACATTCCTAACTAAAAATTACAGAACCAGTATTGTTCTCAATCTTCCTGTCATCACAGGACTTTAGCCTTGACACTCCAATGCGATTAAACTATCCCAATGCTTATTTTTTATAGGACAGGAAAGGGAGGCCCTCCAACAGTGGGAACCAGGAGTCTTTGCTTTTGCACAGATGAACTACGGAACTTGAGGTAAGGAGCATTATCCTCATCAATGAAAAGAGTGGACAGATGATCTCTCTGGGCTCACTCAGGATAGGTCTACATTGCAGAGCTATTTGGGGATACTAGAAGTATCCCGAAATTGCTATTCCACGTCTATTGAAGCAGCCCATTATTTTGAAACAGATTTCATAACAACAGGTGGCTTATTCTGACATCTCGGTAACCCTTGTTCCACAAGAGTTACGGGAAATTTTGGAGTAGCGCATTATTTCAAGCGCCAAATTATGAAATAAGCTATTTCGAAATAGCATTGAAATATGATACACAATTTGCATATGTAAACTGCGTGCCTTATTTCGAGCTAAGGGTGCTGTATAGGCATACCCTTACTGAGTTAAGGCAGCTATGGAATTAAAAATCAGAAATTTCTAAGGCCTAGACTACTGCTGAGACCAGAAAGTTATTACACTACCCAAAATGAGGGAGAAAAATGAGATCAATCTTATACTTTGTTTCCCAGCTTGCAATTCTATACCACACATATGATAAACTGCATGAAGAGATAAAATCTGTTTATATATTAGAGTTGCCAAGTCTGTCCTATTTACATAATTTGTAAGAAAAAGAAAGAACAATAATTTTGCAACTTTCCCCTCCATTCCCCACAAGCAAATTATTTTTAAAAGAATAGGCTTTAGTAAATCAAAGATCAGTGAATATTATGTTAATTACAGAAAAAAAGATAGCTATAGATATAAAACATGGAAGAAACAGATGTTAGACATAGCAAGGTTCAAGGCATCTGAACATCTCTAGCTTCAAATACAAACCTATAAACAATTCATAATAAAATGTATACATTCAACATTTACAATGTTCATCTTCAGTTAAAAATATTCATAGACCAGAGTACTATATGCAGCCTTTTTAATAGTCCAAGAAAAATAGCTATAGCCATATTTAAAATACCACTGACTTTGTATAAACTTCACAAAGTCAGTCTAAAAAGAGGATGCTAAAAATGTAATTTAAAGTCTTGTATACTTGAAGGGAAATGCAACAAACTCATTCAGAAAGGTATCAAACCATTTTACTGGTTGAGCTGTGCTAAAACTTGTATACTAGCACTAAGAAAAATGTTAACACATGCTAAACATGTTATGCATTTTAGCTGTTCAAGGTGTACATGAAACAAATACTTAAAAACACTCAGTTATAAAGGCTGAGATAAACCATGTTGCATCAAAATCTAAAGGAGTGTTATGATGCTACAGCTAAAAGATAACTATGGTACTCATAGGTAATTTAGGTATTTGATAAATGTAGCAAAGAAGAAACTGCTCTGAAGGACAATGTTTGCATTGTATATATTTAGTCAAAGTAAAACCTGAAATTTTGCTTTAGATAAATACTGCACAGTACCTCCTGCAGACAATACATAATAAGGACTTAGATATTTGTAATGCAAGTACTATGTAGGGTGCCACCTTAGTTCTATATGCATTGATGCTTGTACCCTGCAGCAAAAGAACTTATTCAAACAGTGAGGGAAAGTTCCTCAGAGACATGAAAGTGCATTGTATTTTGAAAAGTGCATCTTGCATGCTGCTGTCTTTTTACAAATTCCACAGAGAAAAGTGCAAACCAGAAATACCATATTTGTGCTTTAAGTCTTTTTTGTGTTTCATTCATGCTGGTCACTGGCATAGGACTTTAGCAGCAAATTCTTCCAATTATCTTTTTCCATTGGCCCCATGTGTTTCTTTGGGATGACTATCTTTCTGAATGATAAAATACTTAATTGTTTCACAACTGATTTGAAAACAGTAATAAGCTGGAGAAATTACTATTTGCACACAGGGAAACAGACAAAGTATCTAGTAAACAGACTAATGTGAGAAAGAAGGGGGAGGGGAGATTATCTTTCACTGGACCAACTTCTGTTGGTGAGACTCAAGCTATATAGAGCTCTTCTTTAGGTCTGGAAAGATGATAAAAAGAGCTCTACATATTCAAAAGCTTGTTTCTGTCACCAACAGAAGCTGGCCCAATTAATGATATATCCTGCCATTCATCCTGGGATCAATACTGCATAGACTAATGTGACTCATTTAACAATCTCCTCTGTTATGAAAAGACAAGAATGATGTATCAGTTCATTAGTACATGGAAAAAACCTTCCAAATACTTTGAATCACAAAGCAACTTAAAAGAATGTGCTCACACATGCCCTGAGTTGGACATTATTCAAATAACACAGTCTCAAAACCAGAATGCTTTACAAGAAACTGCCAAGCCGGGACTGTGTCAAAACAGAAGAGGGGTATATAAGATTTCCACTCCTTCACATGACTCTGAGGTGGTTAGAGCCTGAAAAGATGTTGTATTATCAAAGAAAAAAAAACAGATTAAATAGCTTAGATTAAAAAGTCAATATTCCATGCAGGTGATGGGGTTATTGTTTGTTTAACGCTTATCACTGCACTGGTACTTAATGCACAGGTTGCAAGTAAACATTTTGGTTCAACAACTGTCATCCACAAGTTTTGCTCCATTAATCCCCCGATAGGTTACTCTACTAGGCCGAACTAAGACTCCATGGTTTGTCTTACAGGTGAAGTAGCGCTTGTCACCCACAGATCCATCATTCTTTCCCTTTGCACTTCTGAGTTCAAGTCCAAGCCATATCCCTGGTGCAAAGTCAGTAGGGCCAATGTATCTAATTGTGCCCATCTCATTAGAGCTGGTTAGCAGGACCTGAGAACCCTCATGTAGTTTCACAGGTCCCTCTGTGTTAGTCGTAGTGGTATTGCTCCAACTACGCCGCAGTGCCGAGCTTTTAGATCTAGTCAGAGGGAAAAAAAAGGCTTCTTTCAGTGAGCACGTAAGGGAATTTTTTTCGTATGATTCTCATATGCGCAGACACATTGTTTTTTAAAGGAATTTTAGCTTACCTTTTCATAGATTGCTTCACATTTCATGTCAGGAATGCAAGTTAATTTACAAAGAGAGAGCATACCATCAAATAAGGAAAATCTGTTTCCCTTCCACTTACCCAATGTTAAGCTCAACATTTTCTTCATAGTAGACAATGGTATCACTAACAGATGGAGCAGCACAAACTAACTGCTGTGCTTATGAACAGGTTGTTCAAGTCAAATTGTGACACAGCAAGGCCAGCCAGTATTAATGGGTCACAAAATTGTGTTATAACCAAAACACACGTTGAGATAGAAAGTGCTGAACTTAACGCGTATAGTATTAAATTGTGTAAAACACCATGAATATTTGGAATAATGAATGAATTACTGGAACACAATATAAATTCTCCATTGAATCCAATGAAGTACCCTACCTGAAGAGAATTCTCCTAAAGGGGTGAGATGTCCAGAAATCTATGTTTCAACAAAAGCTATGTGATCAAATGCGCAAAATGACAGCCTACTCCGTATTTATTCCTCTACATGCTAAATGGATAATTTTCATTTGGGTGCTAGGCAGACCCATCCAATGAAAGATAATAAAATCCAATGCATAATCTAGGTGTCAATCTATTTATAAAGCCAAAAAGAAAACAGATTCCACATTTAAAAAAAAAAAAAAGAAATTGCTTCAAATATACCACATTAATCTACAGTGACAAGTTAAGTAAAAGGCAGCCGGGGAAAGAGGACAGAAATGCAATTTTTTCCATGTTCAGCGTATTTCTTTTAAGCTATAGTTTGGCATTGGAAAAACAGTTTCATTCTCCCTTCTGTTTTGGTGACAAGATCCAAGGACATGCACAAGCAGTTCACTTTTACCCAGGCTGATCTTACAGTCCTTCTCGCTCAGCCAGAACTCAATGGGAGTTTTGTCTGAGTAAAGACTGCAAGAACATAGTTACAAGCTGGGGACCAACCGGTTAAGTAGTAGTTCTGCAGAAAAGGACCTGGGGGTTACAGTGGATGAGAAGCTAGATATGAGTCAACAGTGTGCCCTTGTAGCCAAGAAGGCTAATGGCATATTAGGTTGCATTAAGAGGAGCATTGCCAGCAGATCCAGAGATGTCATTATTCCCCTTTATTCGACTTTGGTGAGGCCACATCTGGAGTACTGTGTCCAGTTCTGGGCCCCCCACTACAAAAAGGATGCGGACGCATTGGAGAGGGTCCAGCGGAGGGCAACCAAAATGATTAGGGGTCTGGAGCATATGACCTACGAGGAGAGGCTGAGGGACTTGGGTCTGTTTAGTCTGCAGAAGCGAAGAGTGAGGGGGGACTTGATAGCAGCCTTCAACTTCCTGAAGGGAGGTTCCAAAGAGGATGGAGAGAGGCTGTTCTCAGTAGTGACAGATGGCAGAACAAGGAGCAATGGTCTCAAGTTGTGGTGGGAGAGGTCCAGATTGGATATTAGGAAAAACTATTTTACTAGGAGGGTAGTGAAGCATTGGAATGGGTTACCTAGGGAAGTAGTGGAGTCTCCATCCCTAGAGGTGTTTAAGTCTCGGCTTGACAAAGCCCTGGCCGGGTTGATTTAGTTGGAATTGGTCCTGCCTAGAGCAGGGGGCTGGACTTGATGACCTTCTGAGGTCTCTTCCAGTTCTATGATTCTATGAACAAGTCCTGGGCACGAATGGAAATTACACATGTGAATCAAAAGGAACCTGCCTGTAAAGAAAAAGCTGTTCTGGGCTTTCTCCCAGTGATTCTGAACTATAGCTGACCAGTTTTGCACAGTAAATAAATACTCACTTGACAAAGGAGTTTCTCCTGCTTATCTCCTTCTGTGAAGATGCAGAGGTGGTACTTAAACTTCGTCTAAAACCTAAACAAGAAAGCGAATAAATAAAGTGACTACATTGTTGGATTTAAAAATAAAACTTGCACAGCCACTTGATTTGCTCCTATCTCATTTGCTAAGCACCTTGCCTGCCATATCTTGACTATACCTGCTCAGGAAATGGTAATTATTTTGTTGTAAAATAATCTATAAAGACAATAAATATTCAATAATTTTGAGGGGGATAAGAGTTATGTAAAGATAAATAAATCAAACTTTTGAAACAGCTTACACATAAAATTGTTTAGAAAACAGGCCAACTTTCCATAAATAATTTACTAGTTCTTTATAAAACCCAACCGGTGTGTTCATCATCCCTTATTCTGATCTCCTCACCAACCCCTTCTTTGCCTGAACCACCCTCTGGGTGTGGTTGATTGGGGGGGGGTGTTGTAGTGGATGGTAACTTTTTTGGCAAGAACTTTAATTTGCTTCAGTGAAAAGAGTACTCCAGTAACAACTGAGAGCAGGGCTGTTCATGCCAACCACTGAACTGATACATATTAGGGCAAAATTATTGGCCCAAAGAGCTTACAATATAAACAAACAATGCAGAAAAAAAGTAAAATTCACTTGTCCAAGGACACAGAAGGTCTGTGGCGATAACAGAAAAATAACTCCTGGGTCCCAGCCCAGCATCCTATCCATTGGCCCAAACTGCTTTGCATGTTACATCATAAAACTGAATGACTAAAGAGTATGCTGAGCTTTACAAAACATCTTTTTATACAGATAGTTCATAAGAATTAGTTTATTTTAAGGGCAACAAAGGGGGGAATATCCATTTATTGCAATAAGTCCAGTCTGAAACCCAGGTGTGTATAAATAGGGATCAGAGGAATTGTTCAAGGAAATACATTTTTTTATTCACTGGATTGATAGGTTATATGCTGATACAGGTGTTAGAGAGGTAACCATATTAATCTGATACCTGATGCAATTATTTCTGCAACTGAAAGAACTGATAGCACCTCAGTTGCCTAACTCCAATTACGCTTGCAGACAGTGACTGCTGGCTCCTCTGTAAAGGAGGAAGGCTGCAAGTAGCAATGCAGCTGAGTAGCTCAAAGTCTTTTTTTTGCTGTGGCCATTCAAAGAACATGTTTGTCATGACTAGAAAACTGCAATTTCTGACAGCAGAGGGGTCTATAGCAGTGGTTTCCAACATTTTTTTCTTGCAGCTCCGTGGAGAAAATTGTTGATGCTCGTGACCCAGCATAAATATATCTTTTGACTAGAGGGCAGGTGCCAGGGTGGGGCCTGTTTGAGGTGCGAGGTGAAGGCTTTGCCTGGGGGAGTGGGCTCTGGGGTGGGACAGAGATGAAGGGTTTGGGGTGCATGAGTGGATTCCAGGCTGGAAGGGGTTCAATATATGGGAGAGGGCTCTGCACTGTGACGGGGTGGGACACGGGGGGTACTGACTGTGGGTGCAGGCTATGGGGTGGGGCTGGGGATGAGGTGTTTGGGGTGCAGGAGGGTTTTCTAGGTGGGCAGGGCGGCTCAGGGTTGGGCCAGGGGATAGCTGGGGCACAGGCTTTCCTCCACGAGCTTCCGATCAGTGATGCAGTGGGATGGTAAGGCAGGCTTCCTGCCTGTCCTGGCACAGTGGATTGCAGTGCATTCTGGAAGTGGCCAGCAGCAGATCCAGTGGCCCCTGGTCCAAGATCTGGCTCCACAATCCCATTAGCCAGGTCTTGGCCAATGGGAGCTGGAGACGGGGCAGTGCCTGCAGGAGACAGGCTGCCAATGTGGCCTACACTCAGTGCTTTTTTTTTTTTTTTTGTAAAAAAAATGGTGCCAGTACTCTGCAGCAAACTTGTTGAGCTGAGGGCTGAAATGCAGTTGCGACCCCTTTAAGAGCCACAGCGATGCGCGCTGCGAGTCAGGAAAAAAAAAATCGCCATGCGTCCTGAGCAGGTTTCCATCAGGAGCCACACTGCCCCAGGAAGACAGGTGCCGGTACACGTGGGGAAAATTCCATTCCTTTTCTTTGGGCTGGGAAAATAGGTGATGGTACGCCGTTCTGGGCAGTACCGTCACAAAAAAAGCACTGCCTACAACAATGGTTCTCAAACTTTTTGGACTCTGGCGCCCTTTACATGCGTAAAAATGTATGCGGAGCCCCAGCGGTCCACTGATTGTATGTGTTGTACCTATCGCTGTTTCCACTTTGTCAATCTTGCAGAGCCCTGGGGCTCAGCAGAGCACGGTTTGAGAAACACTAGCCAACAACAAACTGGATTTCTTCAAGTTACTTGCAGATAATTTGTGGCTTTCTTGGCTCTATACCTGGCTTGTTGGAGGAGTTGCTTACTGTGGGCTTCCCAAGTGGCGACTGCTTTTTTTGTATTTCCTGGGCTAATGGGGATAATGCTCCAGGTCAGCCTGATTAACAGGAAACAAGCCAATGAGATAAAGGATTCAAGGATCCAAGTGTACAGGCAGGAATCTTAGATTCAATGTGCCTCTTTTTGACATCTCAATCAGAACCAAATTCACACAGAGAGGAGACTCAAATTTGGACACATAGGAGTCCCCCTGGATGCTGGGCTCCATTCCTACTTATCATGCCAAGGAGTACAACTAGGTAGGGCTGCAGCCTAGGGAGTGGGTGTGTGGTTGGGGGTTGCTTATTGGTTTGGAGGGTAAATGGCTGGGCTGGGAGGAGACTGTTTGCCTGCTTGCCAAGTACTGCTGACTTGGTGGATGCCCTGCTGGGGTGGTGTTTGTTGGTATGCTGGGTACAGGGAGGTTGAGTTGGGTGTGGCTTGTGTCTGCTTACTGCTCAGTGTCTGGATTTTTTTTTAAAAGCTCCCCTTTTGAAGTATGGCTCTGTTAGGGCATATTTATTGGAAGCGGGCAGTTCCAAATGAAAAGGGAATTGGCCTTGTTTGAGTTGTTTGTTGCCAGGCACTGTGGAGCAAAAATGGACAGAGCTCATTTTGGGCTTATTTTGAAATGGGACTGGCGTCATTTTTTGGCTTTTATATTTTGTTTTTATATCTTGAGAGAGTTGGTTACTCGCCCTCACGTAGGAGCCAGCCCTGCTGCTGATCACTTCCAGGGTGCAGCACAGTCCATGATGCCAGGAGAGACAGGAAGCTGGCCTTAGCACCCCACTGATCACCTTGTCACTCTACAGCAAGGTGATCCAGACCTGTACTTTGAAAACAGGCTACCCATACAAAACCAGACCCATGTTTCATATTCTTACCTGGGAAAGATTGATTCATTTTACCTGATGAAATTTCTGTCAGGGAATCCAAGGAACCTGTTAACCTAAAGTAAGATAATAGTTAAGACTCACAAATTAATTTTTTTTAATTTCAACTTAAATAACTGGGCTATTTTGGCTAAAGCTCAGCTACAAGATTTTTCAAAAGACTTGATGTGTTATAAATTTAGGGTGGGGCTATCCACACCATCCTGGTTAAATTTTCATCCCAAATACATGGAGCTTTTAGTTGCACATAAGTCAGTAAATGCACAGTTAAGAATCCCACAGAGGCCTTACCTCTGCCTTCAGTACATTACTACAGAAAGTCTTTTGTCAATAGCTAGTAATATAAAATGTTACTTGTGTATCTAAGGATACAGAAAAAGGTGCAGTATGTTCAAGATCAAAAGAAAACACAGAGGAGACATCTTAAGTCTTACTGGAGGCGAAATATGAAAGTTAGCCTGGGAGCATATGCAGCAACAGAAAAGGTGTTTACAGTAAACTTCCAATAATACGACACCTTTAGAACCCAGGAGGTGCCGGATTATCAGATTTGCCAGGCTATCGGAAGCAGGGGCTATGAGGGGGATGCCACCCCAGATTCCTCATAGCCCCCCCTTCCGATAGTCCGGCTCTGCCCCCGGCGCCCCCGATTCAGCCGCTGCTAAAACTGACCAGCAGCGGCTGAATCGGGGACAGCTGGGGTGCTGCTGGGTTGGTCTCGCAGCGCCAAGGGTTGGCGCTACCAGACCAACCTGGCAGCGCCCCAGCTGCTCTGTCCCAGGCATTTGGATTCAGCTGCTGCTGAAACTGACCAGCGGCTGACTCCCGGAAGCCCGAGGTAGAGTTGCTCTGCCCCCGGCTTCCTGGAGTGAGCCGCTGGTCAGTTTCAGCAGCAGCTGACTTGGGGACACCTGGGGCAGAGCAGCTGGGGGGCTGCCGGGTTGGGCCAGTAGCGCTGCTCCTTGGCACTGTGGGACCAGCCTGGCAGCCCCCCAGCTGCTCTGCCCCCGGCTTCCTGGAGTGAGCCGCTGGTCAGTTTCAGCAGCAGCTGACTTGGGGACACCTGGGGCAGAGCAGCTGGGGGGCTGCCGGGTTGGGCCAGTAGCGCTGCTCCTTGGCACTGTGGGACCAGCCTGGCAGCCCCCCAGCTGCTCTGCCCCCGGCTTCCTGGAGTGAGCCGCTGGTCAGTTTCAGCAGCAGCTGACTTGGGGACACCTGGGGCAGAGCAGCTGGGGGGCTGCCGGGTTGGGCCAGTAGCGCTGCTCCTTGGCACTGTGGGACCAGCCTGGCAGCCCCCCAGCTGCTCTGCCCCCGGCTTCCTGGAGTGAGCCGCTGGTCAGTTTCAGCAGCGGCTGAATCGGGGAAGCTGGGGGCAGAGCAGCTCCAATGGTCCGGCTGCCCGGAGCATTTCCGGGTTCCTGATGGTGCCGGACCATCGGAGTTTGAGAGTGTGCGTGCGTGCATGCGTAGACACACACACCTAACAGCTAAATATGGTGGTGATTCCTTTGTGTGCTATAACTCAACAGTTGAAAAGGAGAAACTATGCATCACTTGTATGTTATGTTGCACCTCTCTGTGATGGCTTGCCATACTAAAAGACTGGAGGAGGAGGAAATGGAGAATAGAATGGATATATCAGAATTATGATAAACAGACTGGCATGGGGCTCATCCAAATGGTTAAATGCATACATGACTAGAGAGCACAGGGTTGACTAGTATTCCAAACCCAATGCTAGTGGCTGTGATCCAACACATGTGTGTGTGCTGGCTCCTAGTTGCAGTTTGAGCAGTAGCAGAGATCTATGCCCACCAGGAATCCACAGGCAAAATTCTTGTACTTGAATTCTGCTCGCAGCGTCAGGATTTGGCCCTAAAGACCAGGACTTTCAAAAACACAATTGAATCACCTAAATATAGAGGCAATGGGATGGAATGATTTTTTCTATGTGTGTGAGGTTGCTGAAACAGCCACATCGCATGCTTCCTGTTTATACAGCACTGGTACTGAGTCAGACGTCTATTCTTCCAACAAGCTGGTCTCAAAACTGCGGCAGGAATAACTGGTTTTCTCTTTGGCTCATCAGAACTGTTTCCCATTGGAGAAGAAGTGAAAAAAATGTATTGAGACACAGACATAAAACAGCATCATTACTCACTTCTGCACTCTGGTTGGTGGGGCAAATATGCCATATTTGGGGAGACAACTGAAATACTGGACCCCTCCAACCGAACCATCATTCTTGCCATGAGGTTTGTTCAGTTCAATGCCGCACCAAAAGCCTACAGTTGAGATTTGGAATTTCAAAATTACTTTTACTCGGGGTAACATTACAATTTTGTACTTAGAATAGTTAACAGATGCTCAAGTTGTGCGATGACTAATTTATACATAACAATCTGTGTATTTAACCAAACCCAAGACAGTTTTTCCCTTGCCCAAAAGTGATCTCATTAAGTCAAATCAAAATGTACACCACCAAAATACAGAGGAAAAACGAGAACAGTTGTTAATTAAATTATAGTAAAATACAACTGACACAAACACAAATGCTCTGTTCAAAACAGCCCGAGAAGTACTGTCGAGTACTTGAAACTTTTTAACCTGGTAGTTTTAGCTACATATAGAAAAGATAAAAAGCTTAGCATCTTATTTAAGTGAACTTACAGCTAATAAAAGCAACTGATTAAGAAAGCTGGAAGCCAAAGTTCTTGGTTTATAAAAGGAGAGAATAGGTATTGCCTGATATCAAATGACCACTGCTAAGATTCAAATGTCACTCAATACTCATTCAGTTCTTTTTCCTGACTAAAATCAGAAGTAATTATCACCAACCACAAAGTAGGCTTTGGGATGCAAATCCAAGTGTATAAAAGAAAGGGACTGGTCAGCAATTCATTTCACACAGGCTACTGAATAGCCATCAGATGGTAACAAGTTTGATCACTACCAACCTAATTAAGTAAAGGTGAGAAGTTCTGTGTCCTATTAACAGGCCTTACGCTCGTCCAGCCCCAAACGACAAAAGACTCAAAATTAAATTCAAATAACTTGGTGCTGGGGCTACAAGTTTAAGGGCAACATTAATTATCAACTGAAGAAATAAGAACGGTGAATTAGAAGGGCTCACTATGTCACAAGTTCCTTCTTTCCTGCTCACCAGAGGCAGATGACAAAATTATCTGAAAAAGATCTGCATTGCCACCAAAAAAAAGGGGGGGGGAGAAGGGGTACAGTTTTTCCTATGCTCAGAAAGCAGAGTTCTGTATCTTTTCCTATTTTTTGCCATTTAAAAATATGACTGTTTCAAATGGTGATGTTTTCCATGACCACCACTCAGCTAGTCAGGAAATCCCCTCACCCAAGTTAAATACAGGAACTAGGGATGTAAGCAGCTAGTTGACTATCCGCTAAACATAATAAGCTTAGTGAATAGTCAACTAGTCCCTCAACCAGTCGCTTCCCCCACTCCTTGCTGCCTCTATCAGAAGCAGTGGAGGGGAGGAGAGCAAAAGCCAGTGCTGGGGGAAACCAGCTTAAAAGCTGATTCCCCTGAGCACCGTCTCCACAGGGGACAGGGGAGATAGCCCCAGGCGCCAGTGCCTCTGCTTTGTAAATGTATTAAGAGCCTGCTAGCTGTTAGGCTCTTAATACATTTAAAAAGCAGAGCCACAGCGGGGTTAGCTCCCAGGTCCAGAAGCTGTCCCCACTGTGGCTCCTCCGCTTATAGACTAATCTAGTTGATTATTGGTTAAACAAAATTTAACACCCTTTACTGGAACATGATCATTTCAGGTAAGACAACTATTTTTAGCTTTTTATTAGGTTTTAGTGATTCTATATTAGAATCTATGAAGTTAGAGAATAATGACACCTTAAATGGGGATTATTTAACATAACATACTTCTTGAGATGATGAATGTGGCTTTTGCCTGCTGATATTACATTCTCACATTTTATCTTCTTTTTTTTTTTTTTTTAAACATCGATGCCACCAAGTGTTAAGACAGGATAGCGTCACTTTAAACCTCATGCAAGTGGTCTTCCATTTAATCTAGTGGAGGTACAAATATGCCAAACACCCTAAGTGCAAACATTAGGCAACTGAACCTTTTTTGCCTCAACCTCATGCTTGCATTCTAGGCCAAGGGTGGGCAATCATTTTGAATGAGGGGGGTGGCACTCCAAAATTTTTGTATGTGGTCAAGGGCCACATTTTTCTGTGGGGGGGGGTTGTGCAGGTTCTGAGACAGAAATTGGGTGCAGAAGGGAGCTCACACGTAGGGCACTGGGGTTCAGGAGAGGGTGTGGAGTCTTAGTAGGGATGTTAGATATCATGTATTAAAGTTTTGTTTTAAAATTGGCTCCCCGTGCAGACCAGTTCCCGCCTGTCACTCTGTGCTGCTGCCTCTGTATCAGAGGCAGCAGCACCTGTCCGCACGGGGTGGTGGTGGGTCGAGCTCCCCACAGACAGAGGCTGATCCGGCATCCCATGGGATGGAGCAAAGCAGGAAGGAGGGGCTGTGTGTAACCATGAGGATTAATCGATGAGCCCAGGTTCTCCTGTTAACCGTGTACACAGGTACACGTTCACGTACCCACTGAGAACTCTTAAATCACTGAATTTCTATTTTAAATGTTAAGGTCTAAACATCCATATTGGTCGTAGGACATTATTCTGATTCTACAATATTTTTTAAGAACAGATAAAATACCTGGTGCAAACTTTGTTGTCCCATAGAATCTAACCGTGCCAGTTCTCTGCCCTACTACTAGTACTTTGTCTCCAAGCTGAATTTCTCCTTCATCAAAAGGGTTTCTTTTTGTAGATGGAGAAGCATTGTTCAGTCCTATTTAACAAAGGGGAAAAACTGAAATTAGCACAGCAGCAATTTTGAAATTCACAGTACATCAGTTGTACTCTGACTTGTCTCGGGAGCAAGTCAGCCAACTGATCAAATATTCATCTATGCTCTTCATGCAGGACCCAATTCTATACACATTGCTTAGATAAAACATTCCTTTGCTTTAATGAGCCTCCCCATTAAAAATGCTTGATTTCAGGTTTACTTAGTGAATAGAAGTTGCAGTAATATTCTGTAGTGCAGTTCATCTGCGAGACTCAGAACAGCATCTTCTTCTTCAAATTTTCCAATAGTAAAAATGTTATAAAAATACAAATTTTAAGTTTAAGGACTAACTAGCTGAGAAGTGCCTCAAGTAGTGACAAAGTACAGTAAACTTCCAATAATACGGCACCTTTAGGACCCAGGGGGTGCCGGATTATCAAATATGCCAGACTATTGGAAGGGGGGGGCTATGAGGTGTCTGGGGTGGAGTGAGGGGATGTACCCCTCGGCGCTGCGGGACCAACCCGGCAGCACCCCAGCTGCTCTGCCCCCGGCTTTCCTGATTCAGCCACTGCTGAAACTGACCAGCGGCTGACTCCAGGAAGCCAGGGGCAGAACACCCCAGCTGCTCTGCCCTGGGCTTCCCAGAGTCAGCTGCTGGTCAGTTTCAGCAGCGGCTGAATCAGGGAAGCCGGTGGCAGAGCAGCTCCAATTATCCAACACTTCCGGGTTCCAGATGGTGCCAGACCATCAGGAGTGCCGGACGATTGGATGCTGGACCACTGGAGTTTTACTGTAAAAGGAAGTACATTTATATGAATATTTGACCAAACAGTTAACTGCCCTCCCTACTCCCCACCAGTGAAGATGTTCGTTAAGTAATACAACAGATAAACTATCAGCACTGATTTTAGATGAAAGTAAAAACCACTTTGGACACTGTTTTTTTATTACTATTAGTTGAGTTCTATTTCTTGGGATGTTTCTGTTTGCTCTCTAAATAAGAAGTGGAAAAGGAAGAACTGCTGGATCCAAGGAAAGCTGACAGAGGTAATGGAAATAATTATCCAAAGATGGTATAAAGGAAAAGACAGGTCACTAAAGCAAACAAGTATGTATGATACAGAAGAATCTCATTAATTTACAAAGCAAGCAAGGGAGCAACCATTTAAAAGGCATACATTAATATTAAAGTATTGACTTTATCAACTGATTTTCACACCAGTAGCTTATATTTAGATATTTATAATAATTTATGATGTGCTGGTAAATAGTCTTGCACATATCTATTGAACAAATGAAGAATTAGTAATATGGACCCTCATTACCTCACACTCAGTATCCAGTTTATTAAATTGCTGATGAAAAGTTGGGAAAGTGACATTTTTATAGCTGAGTGATGGTATGTGGACTAGTGCCTAATGTATGCATTATATACTGTATTTAATAATAAAATCCTTACTATGAAATAAGAATGGACGATAAATCAATTATTTCCATTTGTGAATATATTAGATAAGATTTATATCTAGGTTTTTTTTTAAGCTCTTCTTTTCAGCTTTTTCTTTTGTGCCCCAAGTAACACTAGGTATGTCTATCCCTCAAGCTGGAGATGTGCCTAATGTATGCATTATATACTGTATTTAATAATAAAATCCTTACTATGAAATAAGAATGGACGATAAATCAATTATTTCCATTTGTGAATATATTAGATAAGATTTATATCTAGGTTTTTTTTTAAGCTCTTCTTTTCAGCTTTTTCTTTTGTGCCCCAAGTAACACTAGGTATGTCTATCCCTCAAGCTGGAGATGTGCTAGCTCTGATCATACTTAAGGCAGCCAGCCATTCCTGACACAGAGGCTACACACTATTTTTAGTCTGTTACCCATTCTAGCTCTGATCAAGCTATGTTTCCTCTAGCTCAATGTATAGATACACCAACTAAATGTGAAGCAAAATTTAC